CCATTCAAGCCGTCTCCAGCCATTATTAGTCTCAAAGTGGGTTCATCGTCATCGAATTTGTATATCATTTGATTCCGTTTGAAAAAAACCTTTATCAAAGAACGCCCATATTTCTAATAAATATAAATAGTGAGGATACCTAATATGCTCCTAACGGAAAGGTTAAGGTACATGTACAATATTTCCATTTTACATATGGGGTCTAACTATTATCTTAAATTCAAAGTGGATTACTTAGTATTCACATAGCAGATACGAATTTAATAGCTGGTGTCTTAACTTTAAGTATCATGTTGGTAATACCCAGGCTTCACCACTCATTATAGCTGTGACTTCCTCACATTTAACCATTTACTAAACACTGTAACATACAGGCAACAAATCTACCATATTGTTTAATCTGAATGCTGTAACACTAAATAAACCATGATATTATTTTTATTGGTTCCTCAAATGAACAGTTACTTCAAGGTAGCATACCCATTTATAAAACTTACCAAAGTATATTTTTTTTTGTGAAATATAGACCAATTTAAGTAAGAAATCAAATATTTTTTCCCACCTTATTTTCATAATGTGTTCAATAGCTAGTTTCTTAACTTCAAAACATCATGATGGTTACAATAATAACAAGATTACATCACTCACTGCAGCTGTGGCTTCCTTACGTCTTTCTGCTAGTTTTGTTGCATTAACTTCTCTGGCTCTCTGTGTTTCTCTGTAAAGCATGAAAACACCCTTAACTTCACATCCATACAACCATTTAAATAAGTAAATACCCGTGTAAATAAGTTGACAACAAAAATACACATGAACACCTTTACCTTCACATTCATACAACCATTTAAATAAGTAAATACCCATGTAAATAAGTTGACAACAAAAACACACATGAAAACCTTTACCTTCACATCCATACAACCATTTAAATAAGTAAATACCCATGTAAATAAGTTGACAACAAAAACACACATGAAAAACCTTTAACTTCACATCCATACAACCATTTAAATAAGTAAATACCCGTGTAAATAAGTTGACAACAAAAACACACATGAAAAACCTTTAACTTCACATCCATACAACCATTTAAATAAGTAAATACCCGTGTAAATAAGTTGACAACAAAAACACACTA